GAAGGAAGAAAGGAAGGATGGATGGATGGATGGATGGACCCATGGGTAGATGAGTGGATGGGTGGATAGAAGGGTGGATGGAGGGAGGGAGGGAGGGATGGGTTTTCAGCAGCCTAGAAAGTTCTTCCAGTGACAGTTTTGGGACAAGGGAATTCAATTCACTCCTGTATCTTCTCTCTCTTTTCTGGCTCCAATGGCTCCAGGTTGGACAAGGGTGTTGGGAGGGGACGGTCAGGCCAGATGAGCTACATGAAGGAGGCTAAGAGTCAGCACCACTCTTTGCCCTGGATTTCACAGCCCGACCAAGGCTCCCTTGCTAGGGGCACAAGCAGTGAGAACAGGACCCATGAGAGCATCCTCAGAGCAGACAGGCCATCCCTGCTCTAAGACAAGTGGTGCCAAGGGGCTGGCCTGGGGAGGGTCTGGGCCCGCCCTCTCTGCTAAGCCAGGGGCAGACAACGACCCAGAGGAGAGAAGACAGACACACTGCCGAGTGGGCTCATCAGGCCGGATCCTCCTGGATACTTAACATCCCCTCTGCACGGGTGCAGGTGCATACACACAAAGGCCCCCCACCGCCGTCCGGCCGCAAGGCACCCTGGCTGCTTCAAACCAGAGACCAGCCACCCCCCCCTCTGCTCCCAGAGTAGACCTCGCCCCCACCTTCTGCAGTTGATGTGAGATGATAGGAAGTAGGTGGTGGTCTCTACCCCTGGTTCCTGGCACAGAACTCCTGAAGCCGTTGTAAATTCCTAAGGGATAAAAGCACTCGTTCTGGGTGGACCCCTGGGTAGGGTTGGCCACCGGGAAGACCATGCCACGGTTAGAGGCCTGGAATTTTCGGCCCCTCCCCCACCCTCCAGAGAGGGGCTAGGGGCTGGAAATGGCGTTAAGGACTGATGGCGCCTCCATGAGGAGGCCTCCATGGAACCCCAATAGTAGAGGCTTTGGAGAGCTTCCGGGATGGTGAACGCATCCATGTACCGGGAGGGTGGTGCACCCTAATTCTACAGGGGCAAGAGCTCCTGCACCGGGGACCCTCCCTGACCTCGCTCTATGTACCTCTTTACCTGGCTGTTCTGTCCATCTGTGTCCTTAGCATAGCCTTTAATAAACTGGTAAACGGAAGTAAGTGCTTCCCTGAGTTCCGTGGGCTGTTCTAGCACATGACCAAATCCAAGGGGGACGAGGTCATGGCCACCTCCCATTTGTAGCCAAGTCGAGACAGAAGTTGGGGGTACCCTGGGGACCTCCTGCTTGTGACCGGCATCTGAAGTGGGGGGCAGTCTTGTGGGACTGAGCCCTTCGCCTGTGACATCTGATGCTGCCTCCAGAGAGGTGGTGTCAGAATCGAGTGAGATTGTAGGACGCCCAGCTGATGTCACCAAATCGCGTGATGGGGTGCAGTGGGGGGGAACCCACACATCCGGTGTCAGAAGCCTTGTGAATGTTGTAATCGCTCGTGAGTAAAGGAGGGATGCCAGAGGAAGGCTGTGGGAGAGGTAAGGTTCGTCGTGCCCATTTCACAGAAAGGCTAACGGAGGCCCCACAAACCGAGTGGCTCAGTCAGGAGCCAGGATCCCTTGACGGGAACCGCCAATCACTCACCTACAAAATCCAAGAATCCCTTCGAGAGGAGCCCTGCAGGTGTCAGCATCCACCTGGATGTGCCCCTGGGAACCCACCCGTGGTGCCAAAGCTCATCTTCATTTGCTCCCAGGGCTCGTCCTGCAGAGGCTCCTTGAGCACCTACTGTG